AACAATAAAAAAATATTAATAATGATATTATTAACTTATTCGTAAATAATGTTATTTTGTTCTACTTTGCACGAACGAAATTTATAAAGAAGTGCGTTTTAAATTATCATCGGATCGTTTTAACGCTATCAACGGGGGGACCATTTTTTATCCTGAAATTGAAAAATCGATAAATGTAGTACTATGTTTAAATTCTTAGAACGGCCTCCCATTCTAAATGTATCTATCTACCCCACCCTTTATTCTATTTACTTCCGAAATCAATAATCCCCCCCTCCCTCCTCTCTCTAATGATCAGAAATTTTTTTTTATTCCTTTCATTTAGATTTTCCTGTAGCAATTACATGTTAACTGTCTCCAGTCAACAATAAGTGCCGCGATGGCTCAGGGGATAGAGCGTTCGCCTTCCAATGTGGTGACCAGGGTTCGAATCCCAGCGATGGCTGGTCTTTACGAATTCCACATCAGGCATAAAATATCCTCAGTGGTTGACGGATTGTGGGCGAGAGTCCCCTTGCCCTCAGGTTAACCGTGGGAGATTTTCGCGGTTTTCCTCTCCATGTAACGCAAATGCGTGTGAGTTCCATCAAAAAGTCCTTCACGCCGGCAAATTTCTTCCAATACTTGATTCAGGATTTGGCTTGTCTTCTGGACTGGACTCAAAATGATAAGGCTACGGCTGTTCTACTACGGAATCTCTGGGATTCGAACACGTATCACCTCATGGAAAAACGAACGTTCTATCCCCTGAGCCATCACGGCTCGAAAACAACGGATTTTCGAATGTATGGCAGTGTACTGCAAACTAAGCAACCAAACGTTAGAGGGTAGGTATAGTTTGTCTACAGAAAGAACTCCCACCGCCACAAGTTTTCGTGGTTTTCCTCTCCATGTAACGCAAATGCGGGTGAGTTCCATCAAAAATTCCACCGCGAAAGCACATTTCTCTCACTACTTGATCTATGAGTTCCCTTGTGTTTTGGATTGTGTTCAAAGTGGTAAGGCTACGGAGTTGAACATTGATAGTCGTAAACACAAAAAAATGCGTCAGCTGTTCAACGACTGTTATAAAATGAAATAGAATAAAATCATTGATGAAGGGAGTTCGATTGCCACCAAAATAATTTATGAAAGAATGAATTCTTGTACCACGATTTCTATGAGATGAGCAATCTTTAAGGTGATTCTCAATGAATAGAATCAGCTCACTTACATGATTTAAATTGCTGATTAAAATCTGTTTCAAAATGATGATATGCTTGGTATGATACGAGGTCTTTTTGGTTTTCCTCTCCATGTAATGCAAATGCCGGTTAGTTCCATCAAAAAGTCCTACACGAAGGCACATTTCTCCCATTACTCGATCCAGGAGTTCCCTCGTCTTCTGGATTGGGTTCAAAATGACAAGGCTATGGAGTTGAAAATGAGTAGTGGTAATAGCAAAAAGTTGGGTATGCTGTTCAGCAAAGGTTAAAATCATGCTAGAAGATTTTCTCAAAAATAGCCCTTAGTAGCCTTATTGCCAACTATTATTTTTATTATATCCCTGTGACGATATCAGATCAGATTTTTTCTTTCTTTTAATTTTTTTTTGTAGCAATTACATGTTAACTGTTGTAGTTATTGACAATGTCAACCTTCATATATAAAAAGCAGCCCTAACATTGAATCGAGTGAACATGTCTTAGTTCCTGGCCAAGTTATAAGAGGCACTGTTGTCTTTTTAATAATAACATGTTTTGCACGAGTTTATAGGCAATACTCTTATATATTTAAACATACATGTAACGGGTTTTTATTCCGGGAGATTTTTTTATATACCTCCGATTTGTATTTAGTCTTAATGTAATGCATTACAATGTTAACCAAGGGATACACGAACATAAACAAGTGCAAACATGTTTCAGCCGCTTGCGTCATTTGTGGATGTGTTTCTGTGGCTTTGATGCGGTGTGTTTTATTTGTTTCGCAGTTTCATACTACTCAGTTATTTGTTTATTTTGTGTGCAGAGTTTAAATAATGAATAGATTTATCCAATCGAAACTATTTCTTTCATTAGATTGATTAAATAGAAGATAATTCTTTTAAAATTGACTAAGAAATTCAATTCTTCCTTTTTCATTTTAAAATGCAGTTTTTCGAAAGTAAAATTCTCAAGTATTTGGGGTTATGTCCATGTGTAAAGAGGATACTCTTTTAAGATTATAATAAAATCAACGCCAATGAAACCTTTTTTCAATCAAAACACTCCACAGTGTACGTCAATTGCGTTATCTAATCAAGACATTGAAGTCCCTTTTTTAATAGAATCTCACAAGATATCTGCTTTCATCGATTCAATTTGAATAGAGTATCCAAAACATTGCAATTGGTTTAATGAAAAAATACAGTCGAATCCCGTTTTATCAAATTCCTAGGGACCAAAGCATTTACCGATATAACGACTTTCAAAATGAACAAAAATTATTTTGTTCCATTGGAATGACTCGCATAAAAAAATAATATATACATTGCATTTAATTACAGTCGAATCCCGTTTTATCGAATTCCTAGGGACCAAAGCATTTACCGATATAACGACTTTCAACATGAACCAAAATTATTTTGTTTCATTGGAATTTTTCGCATAAAAAATAATATAGATAGGATTTAAATGCAGTTTTGATCTATTTGTTTTCTACTTGTGGAAAATACCAAATAAGTATTTTAAAAGCTCACAAAAACTAACTACGGCTTTTATAGAGTCGAATCTCGTTTTGGAGAATTCCTAGGGTTCAAAGCGTTGCTTAATAACGAAAATTCGTTATACCAATAGTGCGAATTTCAAAATTAACAAAAATTATTTTGTTCCATTGGAATGATTCTCATAAAAAATAATATAAATAGGATTTAAATACAGTTTTGATCTATTTGTTTTCTACTTGTGGAAAATATCAAATCAGTATTTTAAAAGCTCACAAAAACTATTCAATTTAAAAGGAACAATGGATTTATGATCACTCACTTATCAGAACTGACGTCATTTTTTTTATTATTTACAAATGATTTAGAACCAGTAGAAATTGCCAACTTCTCCAAAAAATGATTTTCGAACAACTGAACTAGAAGCCATGTGTATTTTCACTTCTACAAACATGGACGGACCCTTTCATATCTTTTTATTTTGGAGAAGCAAAAATATTTGTGTACTTTCGAAGAATGGAAAAGTGTTTTGATCATGAAAGAAAATGAAAATGGTTGCTTATTTTCCGCTCCGTTAAATCGGATTACCCATTTCGAAATATCGGTACTTTTAATCCATTGTTTCTATGGAGATTCATTTCAGAATTCGGAAAATATTTGTTATTTTCGCTATTTTGGATTTCGCTAAAACGGGATTCTTTTTCAAACGTTTATTAGATTTATAACCGGGCTTATAAGAGTTTTGAAGAACAGCAAAAGCGTGAGCGTAAAAAGAAAAATTAAAAATAGTTCTCATCCATGTCATGATAGACTTAAGTGGGTGTTACTTTTAAAAGTAAGTAAAACTTAACAACAACAAAACTATTAAAGCATTCATTTTAATAAGTTTTAACCTTGCTTGCAATTGAAAATGAGAGAACTTTAAAAAAAAATAAATCTATAAATTGTTATAGCTAGAACATTATTTTTTTATGAGAATACATTTAAAAAACATTGTCTTACTAAACAATAATATATGTTCAGAAATGTTAACCCTACTTGAATTTAAAAAAAGAGAGAACTTTAAAAGAAAATCTTTTAATTGTTATAGCTCAAACATTATTTTTCAATTCTTACTACAGTCCCTTGCCACATTATGAGACGCATTCCAAGATTCTATGTAGAATCTTAATTATCAGGTGATACTCTATACAGCTTTATTGTTTTTACACCGACTGTTTGCACTTGTTTATGCTCCTGTATCAATGGGTTAAAATGAGACGATATATAATATAAATTCAACGATTGGATACATTAGAGAATATTTATTACATCAAGTATTATACTGATATATTATAATAATTAGATCAAATTATGAGACGCACTGTTGTGTTTTAATAATGACATGATTTGCACGAGTTTATAGGCAATACTTTTATGTGTAAACATACATGTAATGGAGTTTTATTCAGGAGATTTTTTATATACTTCCTATTTGTATTTATTTTTAACGTATTGCATTACAATGCTAACTCATTGATACAGGAGCTTAAACAAATGCAAACCAGATCATTCGAGTAAAAACAATACAGCAGTATAGTATGTCCTGGTAATTATAATATTACGTAGAATCTTATAGTGGTTCTAATAATATGTCCAGGGACTGTATTATTCCACACTCTCTCTATATATCTTGTTGAAATTTTCAACCGTTCATCAAATACTTTTTATTCATCCACTACAAATTCAAATACATTTTCTTAAACTTGTAGTGGATGCATGACACTTGATTTTAATACAGTGTTTTTCAAATATTAATTCATTCATTAAATTTAATTCATTCAATTTAGTTTTATATGGAAGAATTTTTTTTTTTAATTATTTCATAAAAAGTAACTAAAATAAATTTTTTTTAATCGACTTAAGAAGGAATGAACTCTTTATATATATATTACATGTTTTCTTATGAGATTAAAAAAAAAAAAAAAAAAAAAAAAAAAAAAAAAAAAAAAAAAACAGTGTATTACGAAATAATAATTTACGTTAAGAAGTTTTAACCTCACTTCGAACTTTAAAGATCCATAAAAATTTTCTTTATCGACCTAAGAAGGAATGAACTCCTTATAAATATATTAAATATTTTCTTATGAGAATAAATTTAAAAAAAAAAAAAAATAACAGTTTATTACGAAATAATAATTTATGTTAAGAAGTTTTAACCTCACTTCGAACTTTAAAAGATCCATTAGGATACCGAAGTTAAGTAAATAAGTTTTGGGATCTACAGTTACCGTTCGTTAATCCATCCGGAAAGTCTTTTTCAAATAAAATCACTCACTTTAATAGCCTCAATATCATCCATGTGGTTGTGGGACACCACAGGGGGGGCAGACTTTCCCTACTGCGGAGGAAGTATGTAGGATTCAGTTATGGGACAGAATGTTCCACTCCTGGGACAACACCTCAGAAAAGTTTCGATGACCATCTTTTCTCCGACCGTCGATGGCTTTGATTCCGAAAGACACACACATCCCGTAACTGGACCTGCGCCGTAATCACCCCCTCCTTCCCCTCCCCTTCCTCTTTTTTGATTGACGTGTCAAATTTTGGACGACAGCCAAAGTAAATATAGATTCCTTCTTTTTCCCCCCCTCCACCTACACTCTCACTCGATTTACTGTCCACATTTTTTAATTTTCTTTTCCCGAACTGTGGAATTCGGTTTTTATGCCTCGATTAAAGAAAAAAGTCTTCCCGAGATTTTGTTTCGTAAACTTTTAAAGAGGAAGGAGTTGGTGACGCAGCAGGCACAGACAACGCCTCCTACAACTGAAAGCATCAACACGGTTTCTTATAGGTAGTCCGCTCAGTGGCCACCACGAACAGTGGCCTAGTTTTAATGCATGTTCGAGGGGGGGGGGTTATCTCCTTCTAATATATGTATACAACAAAATAAATAAATACAAGAAAACACGGAGAAAGTTAAGAAAAACAATAACTCACTTAACATTCGAATTAATCAACACCGTTCTGATATGAACAGTAATAAGACTATCAATAACCTGGAATTGAATCATTTTAGAGTACGTAAATTTAACAGTCTCAAAATTAATATTTTAGATATTGTAGAAGATTTAGATTTGAGACTACAGAAAGAAAATTACTACATGCTTTTATACAAAACAATTTTGCCGCATGGGCTAAACGATACCTTCCAACATACACAGATTAACTTTAATAACTCCTCAACTTATTCACTTTCTCATATTAAAGATAAGCGTACAAATCGAGGTAAACGGGGTTCAAGAAGTAATAGAAACTCTCTTAATAGTGACAAATCAAATATTAATTTTCTTTCTAATATGGAAAAAGATTGTAATAAACATTATAACATTAAACCAATTAAAGATTTTGTCTTCTCCCTTAAGAATTATGATGTATATAAGTTCTACGATCTTATTATTAACTTTTCTTTTATTAATTTACATTTTAAAATTCTTTGTTTCGATCTTATAAAAGCCAAAATGAGCAAAATTTCGCCAAATAAAAAGAAAAGTTTAGATAATTCATATTTCGTTATTAACTTTCAAAATCCTATTTTCGGTAAGATCAAATTTCACAACATTTTTAAAAATTTTAAAGCTTTATTTCCATTAAAAGATTTTAGCATAATTAAAAGTTTTAAATATAATAAATCTCTTGGTAGAACTATATTTAATTATAATGATATAAGCAAAAATTTAGGAAGTATTAATATATTCGATTATGAATGTATCAATTCAGACCCATTTACCATATATCAATCAATAAAATTTTAAAATACTTTCTTAATGATCTCAATAGTTTTTGTTTAAAGATCTCAAATAGATTCTCTTAACCTCTAGGTATGCTAACAGAATGGAAATGGGGTTTTAATTATTATTTTAAAAACTTTGTTTTCTATAATAAAGATAATTTAAATAAGAGTAACAATCCAACAAATTTTTCTAATATTGTTCAATGAATTAAGCAACTTCAAAAAAATTTTGTAATTACNTTGTGGATTACACTTTGTTTTCTATAATAAAGCTAATTTAAATAAGAGTAACAATCCAACAAATTTTTCTAATATTGTTCAATCAATTAAGCAACTTCAAAAAAATTTTGTAATTACTACCATAGACAAAGCTAACAATAATTATGCTACATTCTGTAAAAAATTTTATGCTGAACTTATAAATTAAAAAATAGTAAAAATTTTAAACTTAGTAATTTCAATAATAATATTGTCATTAAAAATTTTTTAGCTTTTTATAAGAGATGAAAAATTAAAATTAGCAATATACAATTTCCTTACTTAATTATCAGTCCTAAATTTCATAAAATTCCTGTAAAATTTAGAACTATCACATGTGGATCTAATACTTATCTAACTAAACCTGGCACCATTTTCTCTAACTAGTTAAATAAAATTATTAACAATATTTTTAAAGAAGGTTTCTCTTGGATTATCACTAATAATCAACCGATTTTAGACTTCATTAAACATAATAAAATTAATTCTATTGCGATTTGGTTCATTGTAGACCTCGCCCAAAGTTCAGCTGTCAAGATAAGGATAATTGCTTTCAGGTGCGTTAAAAAGCTCCCCTAGAACGGACTTGGCTTAATACTCCCTGGGCATGATATAGATATTTTCTCTCGGCGAATTTCTTATAACAAGGTTACTATTTTTCCTGGTATGAAGAAGGATTTTTCCTCTTTGCAAGAGTGAGATGGAAGTCTTAGTCATGAGAGGGAAAAGTCTTAGCTATCAGAGGGAAAATTTTCTAAGAATGAAAGAAGCGAAAGAGCTGTACCTTGACTTACCGCCATTTCATGAATAGCTTATCTTGTCTAGCGAATTGAAATAGATTTATGTAGTGTTTCTGCAATTTTAAATAAACTATAAAATTAAATAAAATTTNAAGAAATGATTTTAATTTTAATATTAATAAACTAGTTACTTGGAATTCTAATGTTTCTAGGAGCATCTATTTAAATACCACTTTTAATGAAATGAACAGAATTAAAAGAATATGTAGTAATATTTATTTATCCAAAAAACAAATCGATAAACTCTTTCAAAATTTGATAAAAAACAACGGATACCCAACTAAAGTAATAAAATTTTATATTAAATCATTAAATTAATCGTATATTTTTGTGGATATAATTTTCTAATTATTTTCTTTGTTAATTTATATAATTTTCCCATGTGCAGATTCATTTCGGTAAAATCCGTTGCCAAAATTATTTACTAAATAATTTCTTTGTTAATTTGTATAATTTTTCCATGTGCAAATCCATTTTATGCAAATCCGTGGTCAAAATTATTTACTAAAAAATTCTTTAACTAAAAAATTTCCTTTGTTAATTTATATAATTTTTCCATGTGCAAATCCATTTCGGGCATATCCGTGGGTAAAATTATTTACTAAAAATTCCTTTATTAATTTATACAATTTTTCCATGTGCAAATCCATTTCGGGGAAATCCGCGACTAAAATTATTTACTAAAAATTTTTCCATGTGCAAATCCATTTCGGGCAAGTCCGTGTTAAAATTATCTACTAAATTTTTTTTTCTTTGATAATTTATATAATTTTTTCCTTGTGCAAATCCATTTCGGGTAAATCCGTGGCTAAAATTATTTGCAAAATAGGTAATTTATGTTTCTCTTTTCTATTTTATATTTTTTCTTAAATAAATATCTATTTTCTAAAATTATTTATGGTCAACTTTTTTAAATTATCCAGTATAATCTTACCTTGCGCACATCCATTTCGGGCCCATCCTTGGTAACTAACAAATCAATGCACAGCATAACAAATCATTTCAGCAATGCAGTAAGAATGGCACTTTAAAACAAAACTCCTCTAGTTACACTCAATTTGCGCTTTTCTTGTCATAGTTTGTAATCTGGCAATCTTGTTGCGAAAATATTTTTAAATCATTCTTGAAAAATTTCCCGTTCATGTAAGTACATCTGATTTCGCTACTCGCTTTATAGATTTTGTTTTATACTGCTTTTTTTTAAATTTTATTTTCTGTTTTTACGTGTTACTTTTACTTATTGTGTTCTATTTTATTTGTTGTAATCTTTGTAAAAAAAAAATTTTTTTTGAGAGCTCCTCCCACTATCGTATTAATATATTTTGTTTTGGCTATATTGATACAATATCAGAAAGCACTCTTTTTTTGCGGATATAATCGTGTGGGCTGATGAAAAGATTATATCTTTTATTTTCTTGATTTTTTAAAAAAATTTCATCCTTTTTTTTTCATTATTATTCCCCCCCCCTTTTTTTTTCTTCATATGTCTATAACTTTCCTCTGTTTTATCTTCATTTTGAACATACATATATATATATTCTAAACGTTTAAATTACAAAAAATGAATAAAGAACACTCATGTGTATTATCTTACTTACCGTACAATAGTTGATCAGTCAAGTAATGTTTAATTTCGGAGGGGGGGGGGTACGGTAACCCTCCTCATAACTAAGCCACTGACTATGAATGTAGTCCAGTTTAGGAAGGAGTCATTTATTACAATATCTAGTAAAAATAAGAAATTGGTAGAAAATATATGTCTAAAAATTTGTGTATTGGATTGGTTTGTGTTGTTTACTTGTCAACCATCAAAGATTATATTCTCAAATATAAATTTCTCTCAATTACTTTAAAAAAAATTTACTTTTTCAAATAGTCTGCGCTGACTACTCATGAAAAACAGCGTGGAGGCTTTCTGATGTACGACATGACTTAGGCAGGGGCATTTGCCCTGTGCCCCCACATCAGAAGAGGGTCCCCAAATCGAATATAAAATTTATTACACATTTGCTTCTTTAATGACCTTTTTTTTCAACAAAATATCGGTACAGTGTAAAATCCGCCAGTTTTATGTCAGCTTCTTCATTCATCTATCGTATGAACACAATCTGGTGGCGGACTTCAATTAAATTTTCGCCATGACGGACACGTTTGGCCAATCAAGAGCCTGTATTTTTACATATCGTGAAATGTCATATGTTTACAAAAATACTGGCTTCTGATTGGCTTCATTAAGTCATCGTCATTTCGAAAATTTAGCTGAATTCAGCCCTAATGTCAGCACGGACATGAATGTTTCCCAGTTAGATGACAGTCAGTAAACTGCACTCGGTATGACGGACATAGAAGTGTCAGAAAATACTGGGTTCGAATCCCAGCAATAGCTGGTTGAAACGAATTCCGCATCCGATTCGCACCGACTACAGTGCTCACGTAAATTATCCTCAGTGGTAGACGGATCATGTGTTGCAACCCCCTTGCCTTCAGGCTAACCATGGGAGGTTTTCCTCTCCATATGACGCAAGTACGGGTTATTTAAATCAAAAAGACCTCCGCGAAGGCAAATTTCTCCCGACACATGATCCAGGAGTTCCATTGTCTTATGGATTGGGCTCAAAATGACAAGGCTACGGAGTAGAAACTAAAAAACTAAGTCAGCTGTTCAACGACGGTTAT